ACAGCACATTCGGTAGGGAACTCCTAGCTATGTATTGTGCTGTACGGCATTTTCAACACTATATCGAAGGCCGCGAATTCACTCTATTCACTGACCATAAACCGCTCACTTTCTCGTTAAGCTCTCCTTCTGACAAGTACTCTCCCCGTGAGTCTCGACAACTGGACTACATTTCGCAGTTTACTTCAGATATTCAACATATTTCTGGAGCAAACAATGTAGTTGCAGACGCCTTGTCTCGAATAAACTCCTTGAACAGTTTCCAAGGAATCGACCTTCTTAAACTCGCCCAGCTTCAAAAAGAAGACACTGATCTTCAGCAAGAGTTATCGTCCACAACCCTTAAACTACGCATCAAACAGATGGGAACAGGTAAGGAAACCTTACTTTGTGACACATCTACAGGTAGAGATCGCCCAATCGTTCCGAAACATTATCGACGCAATGTCTTCAACACATTGCACAAACTTTCTCATCCAGGTGTTCGTGCAACCATCAAGCTCATAGCAGAACGCTTTTGCTGGCCTGGTATGAATAAAGACGTGAGGGAGTGGGCACGCTCCTGTGTAAGCTGCCAAAAATCTAAGGTCATCAGACACAATAAATGTCCCTTAGGCTCATTTAAAACTCCCGATGCTCGTTTCGACCATGTTCATCTGGATTTGGTAGGACCTTTACCAGATTCAAATGGATACTCTTACCTCTTGACCTGTGTAGATCGTTTCACTCGATGGCCAGAAGCAGTACCTATCAAGGACATCACTGCTGAAACAGTGGCCCGAACCTTCGTCGAACGATGGGTAGCAAACTTCGGTTGCCCTTCAACCATCACTACAGACCGCGGACGTCAGTTTGAGTCTGAACTTTTCCATCGTCTGACCACACTATTAGGAAGCACTCGCTTCCGAACGACCGCCTACCACCCACAAGCAAACGGGTTGGTAGAACGCTTTCACCGACAACTAAAAGCTTCACTATCAGCTGCAAACGTTTCACAGTGGACCGACGCTCTTCCACTCGTCTTACTAGGTATCCGCAATGCAGTGAAAGCTGACATTGGATACACTGCGGCTCAACTCGTTTATGGAACGACACTTCGACTTCCAGGAGAATTCGTGGATCCTTCATCCTCTTCAATGAGCATGGATCTAACCTCCTACACGAACAGGCTTACAAACGCAATGCGTTCAGTTAAACCTGCTTCCACTCGACCTAAATCAACTGATGTTTTCATTCAACCTGAGTTACGATATAGTACACACGTTTTCGTTCGTCGAGACTCGCATCGACGACCTTTCGAATCAGCATACGAAGGACCTTTCAAAGTTGTTCAACGCGAACCGTAGCACTATATAATCGATACAAACGGAACCAACGATAGCATCAGCATTGATCGCCTCAAAGCAGCGTATTTAGAAGGAAATCCTATCTACGTGGATTTTCCTTCGGTACAATTGAACGACACGACTCCGACACTTATAATGCCTCATCCGACAACCAACACACACGATGATACTTCGACAGTATCCGAAAATAAACTTAAAACGACGCGTTCTGGAAGTAGAGTGAGATTTCCAGAACATTTAAATGACTATTGCACGTAAGGCACTTCTCGACATTTTCTATATTATTAAAAAATAATTTTTTTTTTAAATAGGCTTATATATTTTCATTTCTATTTAAAAACAAAAAAAACGATTTTACGAGTTTATTTTCCTTTTTTTACGCACATACGAGTGTATTTTCGACATGCACTTACATTCTCTTTCTTCTTTTCCAGGACGGCTGGAAAAGAACGATGACGTTTATGAGGATACGAAACTTTCATTGTACATTTCTTTTTTTACTATGTTGTACCCCGGTCCCATATAGTAAGGAAAGACGACCAGACGCTGCTAAATTTAGTAAGCTATCAGAAGAGTGTTTACCAACGACAAACGCGTTGGGTTTAAACTTCTGGCTGGCCACGTCTTAGGGTCATCACTGCCCCACTAGGGGGGGAGTGATCTGTAGCGGTAAATAAATCCCCAAACTAAATAGCTCAATAGGTTTTCGACATTGGATGCTGACCATATGTTTTAGTGGACTCATCTAGCTGAAGGCGCTCGGTCATGCATCCGCACCAGATCACGTGTGGTAACGCTGTCGTCAACATCAACCGCAATCACTAGCCAGATTAGATCAGAGATTCCCGATATATTGGTTATTGCCAAATACACTCTTCCGATCTCCTCGACTCTGTCTTTTGATTTCTCTTGGTGGGAACAAAGCATATTAGAAGGTGTTATTGGTAGAAGCGTTGTCAAACACTGAATACCTGTATCATCCTCAATATAAAAATCCCAAGAAGGAACAGACTCACAGTTGCAATTAGGTGTACCAGATCACGACGGTCTCACCAATGAGGGTGATACAGGTATTCAGTGTTTGACAACGCTTCTACCAGTAACACCTAATATGCTTTGTTCCCACCGAGAGAAATCAAAAGACAGAGTCGAGGAGATCGGAAGAGTGTATTTGGCGATAACCAATATATCGGGAATCTCTGATCTAATCTGGCTAGTGATTGCGGTTGATGTTGAGCACAGCGTTACAGCACGTGATCTGGTGCGGATGCATGACCGAGCGCCTTCAGCTAGATGAGTCCACTAAAACATATGGTCAGCATCCAATGTCGAAAACCTACAGAGCTATTTAGTTTAGGGATTTATTTACCGCTACAATGCTATTATAATGACTCAAGGTTACTGTATTTTGTAGAGTACACCAATCTACGTTCTCGCTCAATTTCTTAGTGAATATACGACGACAGTTCTATTAAACTGTTCGTAATCTCCGTCTTCATCCCCATAACAAGTAAAAGTGAATCTACTGAATGTAATGTAAAAAAATGTAGTAAAATTGTAATGTACATGAGATGCACATTGTATGTCTTGTCTTTGTTGATGACCTGAAATAAGGAACAGGAGTATTAGCTTGCCAGGTGCGTGTCAGTTTGGAAGGAAAAAAGTGGACTTACTGTGCGATAAATAGTTCTAGTGTATTAATGAATATAATCAAAGTCGAGGGTTCCAGGGCTCTGTGACCTCTTAAACGGGTGAATTTATCCGCAACGCAACCATGTTAACTTAATGTATCGCCCAGTGTCATCTGTGCGTTCAAGCAACCACAGATTTTGTCATTTCATAATGTATTTTTAATTAAATAACTAGATTATGTTGTTAATTCTGATCTGTTTTTAATTTTTATTCGCCACGTCTGACTGCGTTACACTGTACGTTCATTGCACGCTGGAATAATATCTCAAGTCATAGTTAGTTTATTCATATAGTTGATTGTTTCCAGATAGACCGTCAGTGCATGATGCTACTGAAGAAATGTTTGTTGTACTGTAGACTATGCTTTTGTGAACAACTGACTGTTGTCTTCAGTCTCAAAGCAATACATATACCCTTTGTCTTTTAGGTAAGTTCGACTGGCATATATTTCGTGTTTTGGTTTTATCGGCTGAATTATGTTCATTTTACTCCGTTTAGCAACATGTCTGTGCAAATGGAACAATAATTATGATATCTGTCTAGTTTAGTATTCTTGGTTGCCGTATATACGGCAATCTAAATTATATAATTTAGATTAGTCTATAGAATTGTAGCGGTAAACAGTGCTTAAAGCCTGTAGCGAAACGGACCAGTTTAGTAAGTAGAACTGCCTGTTTTTAATGAGTTTGGTGATTGAAATCAGTCTGATTAAAAATAGGAAAAAAGTGCCTTTGGTACTGTTGCTGTCATATATTATAAGATAGCATTAAGTACGTTTGGTGTTTATTTGTAGACAGTACGTCTAACACTGTCCATGTTTCAAGACCACTGTCATTAAACAGTTTCCCCAGCGACAACATCGGTAGCAGGATAGCTAAGTGTCTGAGCTTTTATTTGCCTGCAAAACAGGAGTATAGTCATAGATGAGGAGTGTTGTCTTAATTAAATGCTGCTGGCTGTGGACAAATGTTAAGAGTCTTTTTGACAACTGGGACTTCTAGTTTACCAAACACTAAATCAACTCGTATGTCTTTCTTTAAAAGCAGACGCAGATGTATGAGAATACTTAAATGGGAGCAAAATAATAAGAGCTGTGTGATGCTGTGCTTTGTACAAGTTGTAGTAGCTGGCGTGATCTGATATTCATGAAGTCGAGGTAAGTCACAGCTGCATAAATTCTTTCCTTAGAAACATCTGATGTGTTTATTCACCTTTCCAACATTCTTCACTAGATCCATTACTATCTTTTATTTAGAATGTAACAGGAGTGAGCCGTCACAGATGTTAGTGTTTCACCTTTAGAACTATGGCCCTATGAAACCTTATGGGAGATCCACCTAACAGAAGATTATTGGAAGCATGCTGGACATCCACTTCCAGTGTTTTGGAGTTACTTCTTATACTCTTTCGTTTGAAAAAAGAAACAACAAAAACAGCAGATTAACATTACCAGCGCGACAATGTAGTTGGTAACGTGGTGTAAATCTTTGTTTCATATTCCATTGTTAATTAAAGTTCCTGAATAAATTTGTAAACCTGATGGTATTTCGTTTTATCTAGTTAACTGTTATAAGAAACTTGTGAAACGAGAGCCTCTGAGCACCTAGTTGATGTAGTAAATTTAAGTCAGCAGTTGATGGATTGACATGCGTTACACATCCCAACCGTCCCTGTCTCTAATCTTAGATTCTTATTCAAATACCAAGCAAGCAGTAGGAAACCCTCCAATTCCGGGCCTTCTTATAACCTATTTCAGCCGCCATGACGTGTTGCACTAGTACGTTGACAGGTACGCGTTTAAGCCATAGCTAATTACTGGGATGCTGTTGGATTTGCAATCAATACCTTAGGTACACTTACGGGTCACTAGTAACGTGAGGTTACGCGCCTGCCAAAACACAACTACAGGTCCATCCAATGTTTTCACCCCTTATACCAAACATAGCAAGGAACTCTGTATTTAGTGAATATAAGACTTTTATTTAATAAGGTATTAACAAAAACTGGCAACGCAGCAGACGCACATGACGCGATTTGTGTTCATTGAGTATCTGAAATAGAGAGTACGAGTATTAGCTTAATAGATGCATGTATAAATACTTAGATTTTGATATCCAAAGAACCAGTGGACTTACTATGTTCGGAATCTGTAGGCAGACACCTCATGCGTATTAATTCATCAACTTGATCTATCAATTGCCTTAGTATGTCCTGCACCGTCGTCTGTTCGAAAAGTGTACTGAGTGTGTGGATTTTACTGCATAGAATGCGATACAGCCTGTTCGTTTCAGTATAATCTGGAGACGAAATAGCTGGTATATTTACATCCACATCTCCACAGGCTGTCCAAGTCCATCTGCAACACAGCGTCAAAACTAAATCAACTACTTCATGATACAAAGATGAACATAACATACCTGTGAACTCTGGCATTTGCAGATGAGTAAAAACCATGTGCTTACATGGAATTCGACACGTTTTAAATAAACGGCAAGTGCAAGTGCCGTTGCTTATATGCACTACCGGACACAGAGGGCCGTCTACGAAGAACATAAAGGGTGACTGGCTATTCTTCATGTACATCAGTCCCGTTTTTTTATAGTCTTTAAGGACTATAGAGCCAGCATAGGTGGTTAGCCTGCTTAGTAGAGGCATTAAGCAATCTTCAGCTACGTATCTACGTTTGCGACTACAGTGTAAGCTGGACTGTAGTAACCTACGTTTGCCTAATTGCCTCTGCCATGTAAACGTCTTCCACATACATTTACTCAACGCGTCTCCGTTAGACAACTTCCTCCTCAGTTGTCTGTGCGCACTTTCAACCCGGTGGTTGGTGTTGTTACCCAACGTAACGACTTTGCTGTTGAAAGCTGCGGCCCAAGTTCCTTTCCTACTCATCCAGTTCTTGTTTAAATACGCTGCGATGCGTCTGCTGCGAACACTGATTATTCGACGTATCTGGTGGAACCTAACTACTGTTTGCTCACGCACCAGTTGACATAAGTACCGCTTGATTATTGGGTTGCGGGTCTTCTTACACATAGCTCTACACACGTGGAAAGAGCATAAAGCTATGTGGGCAGTACGGTGCGTTAATTCAACAGCGGATATGATGGATCTTGTACAATCCATCACAAACGTTTCTGTTTGACTGGTTCCATTCATAATCTTTTTAAAATGATCCAGTATCCATACCACATCATCCTTCTTCTCTTCCTTGGTCCAAGCAAACATAACTGGGACTCCATGTCCGCAGTTATCTGTACAAACCAACTGAAAGAGTTTATAACTAAAGACAATTAGTACGCAGGAAAATTTTAATTACTTTCCCCTGTTCGTGTTGTATATTGAATCCAAACACACAACTTCAGGGAACCGTTTGTACGTTTCAATTTGCTCGTGCGTGCTAAATGCTATCTTTGTAACCTGGTTAGCCACACCCCCATAAGAAACGAACACTTTTCCACTGTCCCGTAACGTTGCAATTACGTCGTTTAAACTTCCACAGTCTAAAATACCGTAGATATATGGGATAAGCTTACGTTTGACAACTTTATATTTTAAATTATTAACATATGGCACCGTTATTGTCTTTCCAAAATGGTATTCGGCATACTTAACTATTGAATTTGCATTACTCCCAGTCTCAACCATCGGCCGAACAACCTTCAGCTGATCTTCATTTAATCTTCGGAACCAAGGATCATTTTTCAAACACTTTTCATCACAAGGATGGTTATGCATCATCCTCGACGACGATATGACGAACCGGTTCACATCATACCGTAAACGAAACATGGCCTTGCAACCACTAAACTTTGACCTATGAAAATTGAAAACAATAATAATAAACATTTACCCTTTTACTCTCTGACCATGGCCCTCCGGCTTCTTTTTATGGCCAAAAGAACATACATACACTACATACTCGTAGCGAATTTCCGGCTTTTCTTTGCTCAGCCTGCTTTCACGTACTACATAATGAGTCCAAGTCATCTATTACTTTTAGATGGTGTATTATCAATAACAAACCTTTTGCAACAGATCGATAGCTTCTCTGACTTGCTCCCAGCTTGTCAGCTGCCTGGGTCTCATAATTCTTTCGAAGACATCACCAGTATCCACAGCCAATGGACACTTAGTATTAGTTTGACTGGTTGATGGAGTAGCGTGATTCATAATACTGCAGAAAATAACAAATTTTTCATTCTGCCTGATAACAATAAATAACAGTTAGGAACGAATATGCGGCCAGTTACAGTCATATGCGGCAGCAACATTTATTTTAGCCAAAAAAAAACTGACTTCGGTTCTCGATATCTAAAAAGCAATGCTCAAAATATAACGCATTAAGATTTCATGACATAAGAATAACGAGCTTGCCTGACAGTTAGGAACGATTATGCCGACAGTTTGAGTTCTATACAGCCGCCACACTTATTTAAGCTAACAAAACTAACCTTCGCTCCCGATATCTCAAAAATAACTCGGAACAAAATGCATTAACATTTTATAACACAAGACTAGCCAGACTGCCTGAAGAAATACATTGACTTGAGAAGCAGCAAAAACCCAGAAAAAAATGCTGACTCGAAATAAATTTCACACCAACATATAGAACACTACGCACACTAAAACACTAAATTACATAGCTACACAAAAGAAATAGCTGAAAAAAGCACAGAACGAAGAAAGCCGACCACCATCGCTTACAAAGATGGCGGATATAATAAATCATGTCTCATTCTGACTGGTTGCTCAGCTGAATGCCACATTTACGAAATTGAGTTGCGTTTAATAGCACCCTCTTAAACTTCATGAACGTTATACCAAAGTGATTCGAACAGAGGAAAGCTGAAATCTCTAGACATTCACACATTACAGTAACTGCAAGCTGCTTGTTTTTTTCTTCATTATAGGATGGCTTCCAAAATAAGAACAATGCTGAAAGTAGATAAACTTTGACAACTGACAACCAAGACTTCTGACGGATGCTTTTATTGCAAGGGTAGTTCTGCTCCATCTTAGATGAAGCTATTATTTACCGAATGACACCGTACCGCACGCAAAACATGACTTGGCAATCGACAAACGTTGATCTATATGGAAGTGAGCATAACATTAGCTATTTACCCTTTCACTCTCTGACCATGGCCATCCGGCTTCCTTTAATGGCCAAAACAACGAACTCACATAACATTCTGATATCAAATCTCCGACTTTTCGTCTTTTAGATTGGACGTTATACGTCCAGGTCATCTAATAATTATATGCGGTCTGTTTTCAATGATGAACTTTCTACAAGAGATTGATTGCATCTCCTACGTGGTCCTAGTTTGTCAGGTGCCTGGGTCTCACGAACCCACCGGCTATATTACCGTCATCCAAGGAATAAAACAAACGGACCTGCAGTGCTTACAACGATGACCAAAATCATAATTCTCACCTCATCCTGATTGGTCGCAAAGTGGACCAGCAAAATCACTAATCGGCGTTAAGTTTATTTTCAGTGGTGGTGGTGTTATGTTTGTGGTCTCAATAAAAAGAAGGAAAAACGACACGGTATTAGTATCACCGATGTCCTTCTAACAGAACGTTTTGTTTGTTAGTCTATTCAGTGCTTTGATGTCGTTTAGAAGTTTATTTGTTCCACTAACAATCAGATTTAATGTGCTTCTTTTTTAACCTGGGCTTTTAACTAACTCACTATTCAGAGTCTTTTTTCCCCTTGTTCTAAGGCAATCACCAAACATCTCCTTGATATAGGACATCAGGTAGACACTTCACAATCTTTTAGGGTGATAAGTAAGCAGCCAAACTCCAGTCTTCTGAAGTTTGCTGTAGCCGTTGCCATCCATCAGGCGCCAAAAACCTGAACTATGTATTCAAAAGACGTTTGTTAATCTTTCCTTGCCTTGGTGACAAGCATTCTTTCGCTGCACCTTAAAAAATTTTTCTCCTTTCTTTTGTATGTATTACATCATTGATTTTAGTTTGTTTTATCAACTATCTTTCAAATTAATAATCTTTCGATTGAACTCTACTCACTATATTCCCATCAATGTTTATTCATTATGTAATCAATTGTTTCTAACCCACTTTTGAACCGTTGTCACAATTAATGTCGTAGGATATTATTCACATTAGTTATATAATTACAATATTCAGTAAGCAATCTAAACCCATTATGTAATTATGATTTTTAAATACCATAGGTTGTAAGCAACTGACGAGAACCTACGAAGTAAAATGAATTCATGCTATTCTGTCAGAATCTTTGTTCTTGCTCTTTACAAAACCTGAATTTTCAGTAAAAAAGTCGACGGACTTCATGGAAGCTGTGCTGCGATGAACAACTTGTGACCGAGAAAATAAAGTAAATAAAGTCTAAAGCTGTTCATAACACGGTCTTATGTGGTTAGAGCATAATCCGCCGGTGAAAAATGTTGAATTTAACACATTACCTTAAGTATTTTTATTGTGAGACAGACATGATCAATACATTAAATCATTCTGAAATATTAGGAGTTTCATCTTAAGGTTGGGACGAAGTCATACTTTCCATATACGCTTTTTGCGATTTATTTCGATAGTACTAAAGAACGGGAGGAAATGGGAAACACAAGAAACAGAGCAGACAACTATATTTTCTCGTATCATTTTCCAACACTCGTTTCACCGTTATTACACTTATAAACTAATAAGTGGAGTGTATTTCAGCATAACTGTCCATTTTTACTTATAAGATGATTTTTAAGTGAGGATACAATTTATGGACGGCCTTTGAGAAACACTAAAATGACCTCGGAACGTCCACTTATCTATCAAGGTAAATGAGCGCTATATATTAGTGTGAGGAATCAGAATTTTCATTTAAATGTTAGGAATTATGAATTAAATTGAATGTTTTCATCACAATCTTACATCATTTATAGTACCAAAATGGTATATTAACCCAACAATTGAATGAACTTTGAGCCACAACGAAAAACCCGTTAACTTACGCCTTTGGATAAATCGTATGTGACCTTGAGAAAGCAGTCCACATAAAGTAAAAATAATTATATTCAATTAAAAATATTAGAGGGAATACAATTCTTTAACATGGTTTAAAAACTTTCCAGTGTCAGAAAGAGGCTCTGCAGTTCTGAAATCGTAATGCGTACGATGCAGGAACTCATCCATGTGACTTCATATTAGTTGACTACCAGAGCCATGGTAATGAAGATGACACAGGTATTCAGTGTTTGACAACGCTTCTACCAGTAATACCTTCTAATTTGTTCCCACCGAGAGAAATCAAAAGACAGAGTCGAGGAGATCGGAAGAGTGTATTTGTATGAGTCATTTGACTACCTCAATTACGAATAAAGGAACTTCTTAGTAACCCCATGTGTTTTAACCGCTTAGTCACAACGTCTTTAAAATCTGCTGTTCGCCTGTCGGTACTGAAATGGGTGTTGTGACCTCGAGATCGCCAAAACCTTTTTCAGTGGCTCGTACAGAAATTATAGTTTTGCCACTAAAGCTTTTGTGTCGTTGATTAGATATCCAATTAGTATGTCACGTTGCTATGAAGTTCAATTACGGCATAAATCATAAAATACTGCTCAGATGATATGTATTCCGGAGATGGTAAAGATAAATAGATGGCTAAAGATTATGAGTGAAAAAGAGTTTAGGGTTTATAAATTTATTTGTTTACACATATAATATGGAAATTGGAGTGCGATATTGTTGGGCCAGCGAAAAAAAACCAATGTAAGATTATGGTCTACTATAGTATTAGTGCTGCTCTAATAATAGACCTAATCCTAAATTTGTATATTTATCATGATATAACTGCCTAATCTATAAGATCTCACGTGGAAGTCATACTATCGACTACGCCAACTCACTGTATCGTATCAATTACCAATACATGATGTAGAACAAGGTTAGGCTAGAGAAGGAGAAATATATTTAATGTTAATAGATGAGGGACCACGCCTGCATGACCGCGCCATGCCATCCGATCAACTCCAATTCATTCAACACATTCTTCCCGCCTTCCCAATCGTTAGGTATTTCTCTGCGTTAAATATTGAATATCTATTTTCCGAGTAATCTCGTATTCAGCTTTGAGGACTGTGTAGTTATGGTCCAATGCCACTACACTACTCTCCCACGAGAATCAACGTGGTGTTCGTTCGGTACCAAATTTGATGGGATTGTCGCGGCGGTTACCAAGAATAGGTAGAATCCACCGGATGATGACAAGCTGAAAGATAAATCAAAAAAGAAAGCGGCAACATCTGGTCAGGAAATACATGTAGTAATTTTAAAATATCTGCCTTCATGCTTAACACGCTTGAAATAAAAATTTGGGTGAAGATTATTTGAGCTATAAAAAATGGGATTACAATAATAATAACAAAACGATGCGTTGTGTTGAGATATATCAAAAACAATCAATATTGTAGAAATGTTAATATTGGTATTACTTTTGGTTTAAATTATGAAATCAAATGACGTTTATGCCAGTGAGTTATCCATATGAGTTGATTTCCAATTGCATCTGTATTAGTAGGCTAACTGAAGGAACAAAAGTATTACTGTGGAGAAGAAGAATTCCAACTAGTGTTCCAGTTAGTTTGATACGGTTTATTTAGCTACGAGGAGATTGTCTCAGCCTCATTTATACTTGAACGTGATAGAATTTAGTAATACTACTAATACACATGAATGGTTATGAAAAACAATCAAACACTTGAAAAGTGATAATTTTGTGAATTTTAGACAGATAACTAAGAACAAATCGTTAAACATGTGTATTCGCAAGAGACTTGCTGTCGACTCAATGTTCTGCGTTGCCATAAACTATTTATTTTTATTTATACTTGTCGGCTGAAGGTACATACAAGTTAGCTGCGTGTACGCAGTTTATCATAAGGCGGAGCACGATTTAATTGGGATATAGTGATTAAAAGTTATTTAATTCAGTTAAGCCTATATGTCACATTACTAGGTGATGTGGTGCTGCAAGATGTATTCGGCTAAATAAGTTTTTACAAGATAATTAACAGTGAGTGATGCCCATGTGATTATCAGGGAGAACATAAGTTGTAACCAAGTGGAGTACACTCCCAAATCATGTCTATGATAATAGCTTGAACCTTAGTCAGTGTTGGGGTAAATTCGACACTGATGTTTTCAGTTTGCAGGAGATTTGCTCGACTGCTTATACTGATTATTTCCATGCATGATTGTGTCGCCAAACCATCAACAAGACTGACAAGGTTTTGAGATATTTACTGAATGAGCAACTGATAGAGAAACATACTGTAATCATCTGTAGTGAATGAAGATAAAAGAAAAACAACACTAGTGATAATTATAAGTCAATTTGCTGACCGATTTTGTTAATAGTTTCATAATTTCATTTGATTACTTCGTACTATATTTATGATGCGTGATAACATTTCGTAGTTGCTTTCACGTAAATTAGGCATATATTCTGTCACTGCCGTCAAGTTTTTGTCTAAATCATGTACATTTATGACTCGTTAGTCAATATACTGTGGTAAAACATATTGCATGTACACGAGCACGCTTAGTCCATGTCTTAAGTACACACTTTATCGTACTTAATATGTTACCTAACGCTAGTTAATAAGCTCTTTGTATCAGCCTTTTTACGAAATAGGTAGGCTACCTAAACCCTCTAGACTTTAGTTACAGTGGTGGTTACCATTTTAATTTATGTTTATTATACTCCTTGTATTTGCTATTATTTCACACGGTAATTCATGGCTCAATTTCCTTATTACACGACAGTCATTTTAATCCCATTTTCGGTTTATTTGTATACAATACAGGTTTGGAAAATATCTAAACGTCCTCGACAATTCTCCATGAACCCAACCATAGTTTTCGTATATGTTTTTATTCACACATCCAACTTTTACGCTAATAACACCTAAACGACCGTTCAGTGCAACTGTTAGTATACGTAAGAACGATGTTATTTAGATTTGACTTTATAACACATCCTAACTGTTGTAGTTATTCTACTTCGACGTCGTACTTTATTTTATGAAGTATTGTTTCCTCGTGGCTGTTATCTAACAGATGATTTTGGTACATCAATCGACTGTCCAACTACTCGACGATATAAAACCAGTCCAGTTCGATTGGTGGTCTGACAACATTATCATTCGCGCGAATCATCAGTTTATGCAGTCGAGCGAATCTCCTGCAAACTGAAAACGACATTGTCGCCTTTACCATAACACTGACATCTTTTTCCACTGGTCTCATTCACATGAATCCAAAGTGACACTCTTGGTTTCTTATGTTCTTTTCGATATTTTTCTGTTCACTAACCGAACAAACGCGCAGCACTCACCGTTTATCATCTTTTAGAGACTTCATCGTGCCACCTTTGCTGTCGATTTGTAGCCTTTTCGACTCTTACTGACTGTAACAACAGTCATCGACTTTTCTAACTCTGACTGCAAGTTGATTTATAGCTTCACATAACGAAATCACGACCACTTTTCATGGTTATACTTTTGTACTTACGGTTAGTCTGTTAAATAAAGATATAACTAGAAGCTGTCAACGACACCATCTGACATCCAACTTTAAATCAATAGCAGTATCAGCATCGGCATCGATTGATAATACACTTACCCTACTATTGCTATAGCATCATTACTCTGGCGGCATACTTAATGTTTCGCATCGGAGGAACTCAATTACTCATCAAAGCTATATATTTCAGCGCGACTTGATAGAACAATAAAACATTTTGTTTAAATTACTTCTATGGTTAATCGCTTTACTTTTAACCAACGTTGTACTAACATATTATTACTCGCTGTTTTCCCGATCAGTTTCTGCCGCCTACTTTCCATTTTGTTTTACAGCTCGGCAATACCCGGAGTATCCATATTAATCGTTTGGTAATCTCCAGTGCGCAACTACTCCCAATTTGTTCGGTACCGATTCAAACGGCCGTTGAATCTGGTGGGGGAGTATTGTAGGGCAAGCGATATGTCACTAAGCCACTGCCAAATCATCCGGCAGTCGGGTCATTGAATATTGAGCAAATCATCGATCCTCGTCAAGGTCAGGGGCGACCAATGCGCATCACTTAATCGTGTGCCATGAACTGGCCTATACGGCAGTGGTCTTACTTTCGCTTGTATCTACTTTAATTAATATGTTTCTGTAATGACATCTTCTGTGTTGTACAGCCTTCAAAGTATCTATAATACCTTGATACATCAATGGGGTAGTCCACGTAAAACGCTGACCATGAGGTGTGACTTCGACGTTAGCTAGTTTGTCACACCACTCACGTCTAACTCGAGTAGGCGTCCAATCATTTCGACATAGATCATCTACGTTGGTGATTTACAATATATTCATGATCGGTTAGTAGTCTTCCATGATAGTTCTAGATATTATGCGGTCTATAAAAATGTTATCAATTTACCCAGAAGTTCTAGGACTGGTTGACAGAGACCATTGGAGTCTAGCTTCAGGGTTATTAGTATTTTGAACTTTGCAAGCGTCATACTTATGTGTAGGTAATGTTGACCTGATCACCAGTAAAGTATACCGTACTGTTAACAACCCATAGAGCCTTAGCTGTTGGTGTTTTACACATGGTAGTGTACATGTACTGTCAGTGAACGTGTCAACAAGGTCACCGGTCATAATTTGGCGGTAATTTAAATAAGAGAGACTAGATACTATTTCGTAGAGAAACATTAGGTTGTGTATTAACCCCTTACAAGATAAATGCTCCCGTGAGAAATATCTACATATAGCCGTGTAGTCGACAGTAGAATCACGTCTAAGCAGTGAACGTGTGAAGCATTTTTGGGCATCTACTTGTATCCTGTCTGCAGCAGTCTTGTTTTGGAAGATAAATGAACAACATTCAAAGGGTGTCGTTTACATATTCTAAAAAGAGCAAGATTAGACTCCGTCGTCAATAAATTATTTATTATGAAACCCAATAGTCCCCTAGATT